TTAAAAAATACATGTGACGAGGTTCTGGGTGACCAGCTAGCGTCAGGTGACCACACATGGTCCCGGGAACAGGGAACTATGGTGCTGACAGTCTACTATAGATCCTTCCCTTAACATTGGGGTCACTCCCAGAAAGGAACACAACTTCGTACGTATGCCAGGCATCCCCACCTCCGGCAGCTTCTACCCAGTCTTGGATTTTTTTTTTTTCTGTCTATAATTTAGTAAACTGGTGCTTATTTATTTATTCCACTATTATCTCATTAAATATTATTGAATAGTAGGGGAATATTTAATTTATCAACTTAGAGAAAACCTTACTTGTTTTGGGGGTACTGGGGTTTGAACTCAGTACTCTGTGCTTATGAGGCAGGCGCTCTGCCAGGTAAGCCACACTTCCAGCAAGCTTAAGGTTTCAATTTTTCAATGATTTAGCTTTGAATTTGGCAGAAATAAACTCAAATTTTAAAATCAAGGTATTTGCCCCTCTGTCTCATGGTATGAAGTCCCAAACCTCCCTTTACAATCGTGACATAGATTCGTGCCTCACCACCCTGCCTATAGTCACTGTCTTCAAGCAAACAGAAGATGTTCAATGATGTATTTTGGAGACATTCCGTCTTCCTCAGCTTGTTTCAAGTGAACTGATGGCGATCTATTCGTATGGAGGTTCGCCCGCGTCACGTTGTCTCATGCCTTTCAGGATGCTATAACAAAATACCGCCAACTGAGTGTCTTATAACAGTCACGATACATGTCCCACAGTTCTGTAGGCTGGGAAGGCAAGGTCAGGATGCTGACAGAGTCCATGTCTGGCCAGGTTAGCATCCTGATCAAATTCTTCCCCAGGCCAAAATTACGTCAATTTTCAAGCTCAAGCCTTTTTTCTAAAATAGAAACTTTTAAAAATTATAAATTAACTCCACTAATGAGTTCTTGCTAGCAGAATGACTAGGATGAGTAATAGAATGTGTCTTCCTTTATAACACTGCATTTTCAGCCTCATGTTAAGCGCATTTGCCTTGACTTCTTTGTGCTTTGAAAGACGAATGTGGGCTGATATGTTGATATGATCCATCACTAAACTTTACCACTGTCAATCCACGCACAGAGTCCTGGCTTGAATCCGTTACTGTCTCTACACTTACACAAATTTCAGTTTCTCTGATCAACTAGTATCAAGGGTGGTAATTATGAAAACGCAATGTCATTATCATCAGTCGTAACCTTGACTACCTAGACATACTGTCATAAAAATTTAATTAAATTAAAACACAGATTTTGTTTTAATGTAATCTTTAAAATTGAAACTTACTAGGGAAAATCGCACCTAAACATAGCTACAAGATTGGAAGAGTTCCTTGACATCCCATTTCAAAGGAGAAATGTCAACCAGAGCCACAGTGAGGTACCATTGCTCTCCTTGGGATGGCTGTCACAACAAAACGAAAGAGCAGATGAGGAGAAACTGGGACGTTTGTAAAATGGTGCATGTGCTATGGGGAAGGGTGATGGTTCTTCAAAATTAAAACCTGGAATTACTGTTTGACCCAGTCATTCCTCTCCTGGTTGTATTCCCCAAAGGATTGGAAGCATGGACTCAAACATTTGCACGCCTGTGTTCATAGCATGTGTCAATTACAAGAGTCAAAAAGTAGACACAACCCAAATGGCCACAGATGGACAAATGGAGAAACAGAACGATGAATACATACAATGGAATATTATTTGTCCTTTTGGAAACAAATCTGGACATGTGTACCTTGGTTTGAATGTACATGTCCCCTCAAAACTCATATTTTGAAGTCCTAACCCCAAGGTGATGGTATTAAGAAAGTGGAGCCTTTGGCAGGTGATTATGTCATAAGGCTTCATAATGGGATTAGCGCCTTATAAAGGAGCCCCATAAGGTACCTGTGCTTTTTCCATCCTGTGAGCACGCAGCTAGAAGCCACTGTCCGTGAACCAGGAAGTGGGCCCTCACCAGACGTCAAATCTGCCAGTATCTCGGTGGTCCAGGACTTCCCAGCCTCCAGAACAATGAGAAAAAATTCCTGATCTTTATAATATAGCTCCTGTATGGTATTTTGTCGTAGCAAAATCTTAACACACTAAGACACCATGCTACCTCACAGATGAACCTTCAAGAGCATGATTAATGAAATAAGCCAGACATTTGTCAAAGAACAAATGTGTGATTCCACTTACACGAGGTACCGAAAGAGTTAAGTTCACGCAGACAGGAAGAGGAATGATAGAGTGTTGGTGGGAGTGGGGAGGCACATTTAACAGCCACAGAGCTTGAATGAAAATGGAAAACGCTCTGGAGTCGGATGATGATGGTGATGGCTGCACAATTTGTATTTTCTTAACATGACCAAACTGTGCAATTAAAATGGGTAAAATGGTAACTTTTGTGTGTATTTCACAATGGAAAAAGAGGAAATGTCAAAAATCAACAAATATTCAGGCAAGAACACCCCCAGTTAGGGAGAATGGTCCTATTAGAGGACCATCAACGGAATTATAAACAAGTGCTCATAGTTAGAACTTTTCGAACCCCATTAAAAGTGGGCCGCTTAAAATTTATATGATAGAACACAAGTCCCATGGCCTGTATCTGATGTCTTCAACTTTTGCCCTCCTATTGAAACACTGGACCTGGGCAACCCGCTTAATCAATTGTGTTAGTTACTTTCACGTGACTGTGACCAATAGCTGAAAGAACACTTGTGGGACAAAAGATTTATTTTGCTCAGATTTGGAGGGTTCAGCCCATGGCCCCGTGAGCTTGGGCAGAGCATCATGGGAAACAGAACGTGTGGTAGAGAAGCTTTCTCACACCATGGTGGACAGGATGCAGAGAGAGTGAGGAGCGGGACCATGTACTCCCTTCAAAGGCACACCCCGTGTGACCTACTTCCCCAACTAGGACCCACTTCCTAGGGTTTCCAGAACTTCCAAGAATCACCCCACTAGCTGGGGACCAAGCATCCACCACACGAGCCTGCAGGGACTTTTCACACTCAAAGCAGATGGCTTTAAGAACCGATCTTCCACCCGTGCCTCTACACCTATGACTCCAGCTCTGTGTCTCCATCCTAGAGCTTGCTCTGACTTCAAACCCAGGCGCCCAGCTGAATAGCCTGTCCCAGGGGGCATGACACGGACTTCCTTGTCAACACATCAAATGCAAATCCCCCTCCTCCCCACTTGCCCCGACCATCGACCCTCCTCTCTCCATGACGACCATGCTCTCATTACCTAGCCAGCCAGGGCCCAGCCCCACTCCTTCTGGCTGACCCCTCCCTCCTCTTCACCACCCACTTCCAATCAGTCACCAGCACTGCTGTGTCTCTCCTCCTTGTCACTCCAGTCCTTCCCCTTCTCTCCAGCATGGCTGTCACTGCCATTGTTCAGGTCTCTCTTCCCCCCAGTCTACCTCCACACCGCTGCCAGCCAGAGCAAGCTGACTACTCTTGGCAGCCATTTTGTATTAAAATTCTTTCATCTCTTCCTGAATGATAAAGCGATACTCCTTATCATGCCAGAAGTTCATTGTGATCCTGCACGGAGCTTGCTTTTGTCTGGGGTGCCCTGTACTTGTAGGTCACCCAGAGATCACTTCATCAATGCTTAGTAAATCTCAATTGGATCAGTCACTGTCCTCAGTTTCCCAGTCTGGTCTGTCTTCGCTGCTAGCCTCCTCTTCTAGTATCTTCGCTCCCACCATGCTTTGCTTCTGTGGTTTTCCTGTCTAGAGTGAGTTTGTAACTTGTTTTGTTCAAGAACTCAGTGTCGGCCTGGAGGCATGGCTCAAGTGGTAGAGCGCCTCCTTCCTCTCTACTGAGGACTCAAGACTCTAGAGTATTTTTAAGGAGAAAATTTTTCTGAGACTTGAAGTCAAGACAAAAGTTCTGTGGTGAAGTATCGGGGAGGCTTGTGTTTGGGATGTCCCTGAGAACACTGATTCATCACCTGCTGGTCAACCTGTCTAGCAACCCGCCCCTGAGAAGCTAGAATGGCAATAAGTACCTACCTGCTGTTCTTCCCATGTCCAAGCCCAGGGCAGGCATGGCTACTCAACCATCCTGCTGAGCCTGGAGTGTTCCAGAATGTCATTTGGTTTGGTTTGTGGTACTGGGGTTTGAACTCAGGGCTTCCCACTTGCTAGGCAGGTGAGCCATGTTTCCATCCAGCCCTTTTTACTCTTTTATTTTTACTTCTTTATTTTGGACATAGGGTCTTACTTTTCGCCCAGGCTAGCCTGGCTCAAGAGCCTTCTATTTTAAGCTTCCCGTTGTAGCTAGGGTGACAGGGGTGCTCCATCACAGCCGGCTTTTTGTCCATGAAGATGAGCCAGCCTTGAACTTCGATCCTCCCTATCTCTGCCTCCCAAGTAGTTAGGATTATAGGTGCAAGCCACTGTGCTTGACTCCAGTGTTTCTGAAACACAGCACTGGGCACCAGTACTGGTTGACCAGCTGCCTAGAGTCATTACAGAGCAAGAGAAAAGGCTAAAAAAGAAAGGGGTCACTTCAGCACAGGCAAGTGACTTGATGGGACTTAAAGGGGCTCCTCCAACCCTGGGTGCCAGCGATTGTGAGGCTATCATGGAGATAAATGCCCAGCCTACAGTTATGCGGAGAGTTTTGTCTCAAACTTAAAGGTCAGAGATGCAAAGCAGCCCCTTCAGGGACCCCAGTATCCCCTCTGATGGAGGTGGTTTCCCACTGAATGTCCCAGGTCATCCCCTTCAGGCCCAGCCACTTGGGATCTTAGGGGTGCCTTTCTCTTCCTAAAAGAAGCCAGAGCCATGCCTGCCTCCTCTCCTGACGAAGGCTTACATGTCATTAAGAGGGATTATGTTTGAAGGGGAACGAGACCTTAATCACCAGAAGAAGGACACAGCAGCCTGAGCCAGAGGTGGTCTGGGCTGTGTTTTTGTCCACTGCCGCCCAGGTCTGGGTTCCGGGTGATCACCTGGTGCTGGTGTGGTCACCACCATGGGCTTCGCCAGACAGACACAGCTTTTGCTCTGGAAGAACTGGACCCTGCGAAAAAGGCAAAAGGTAACGGATTCTGTCTGTAGTCTGGAGAGGGAATGTGGGCAAGTGACCTGGCGGGTGGAAAGCAAGGGGCAGGAGTGGGGTACAGTGGGGTAGAAGAGTGGGGGCATCCTGGGCTTTCTGCCATTGGTTCTGAAGCAGTGTTTGGCTGTCTGGCCACTCTGGGCACCTCTCTAACAAGTGTCCTTCACAGGATGACATGCTTCTCTGCCCTTGGCCATGTTAGACCATTTTACCTCCCACCTATGAGTCCACTGCCTGCCCATCCTTGCTTTTGCCCCGGCCAGCCGTCCACACCACGCAACAAGGGAGACTCCTAAGCCCCGATCTGCAGGCCCAAAAAGAAAACATGAAAATGCCAGCTTGGGGAGAGCAATGTCATGGATCCCCTTCTGACATCGTGACATTTCTGAAACTGGGATGCATCTCACACTGAGGTCACAATTTCAACGCACACATTGGCTTCTTTCTTTGGGGGGCAGCCTTGATTCAAGGAGTTCAGTGTGTCATTAATGTCACAGACATTTCCTGAGCCTCCTGAACAGTCAGATGTCAGGCGAGGCTAGAGTTCCAGGGGATCCTCTGGCCAAAAGCACAAGACAGAGATTCCACCCCCAGGATGGCTTCTAGGATGGCTGGAAACTTCTGGAGTATGTTTTGAGAACCCCAAGCAATATAAAGTAGCAAAGGCCAAATATCCCAAGAGAAACTCAGGCAAGAGCTCCAGGACACCAGGGAACCCCAAGAGTGTGTGTGCAAATGCCACAGGCCTCTGTCTAATTTATCTGGGAAGGGAAAGGAATGAATATACGACTGTAAAGAACAATGTTGCTGTGGCCTCACGGAGTCCTGCAGTGCCATGACTTAGGGAGTGAAGATGGGGAGAAGGGAGGGGGACGGCTAAGATTAGAAAGATGGAGGGGCAAGCCGCAGGAGACCTGGGGAGGAGGACAGGGAGGGAGACGGGCCACAGGGAAGAAGCAGCCAGCATTTTTTCTGCTCTTGTTCAGGATGGGGTCATTAGATGGGATGGGGTTTTCCTGGGTAGGAACATCTGACGACCAGAGCAAGTGTCTCAAACAGTCTGGCAGAGTCTCAAAATGTGGATCGTGTCAGCTAAGCACACAGCTGTCAGCTGAGCAGGGCAAGGAAAACGCTGAGATGTCCTAGAGGTAGAACTGCAGGGCACAGCCACCACCCTCAGGGTGAGAACCGAGGGAAGAAAGTGGGGTTAGTAAGTCCAAAGCAAAGAGCAGAGGTCAGGGGAGCTGGGGTGAGGAGTTAGGAGGAGGCTGGGCTCAGGTGCAGACCTGAGGAGGGAGTCCTGCTGGTGAGTTTGGAGCTGAGACACAATAGCTATTATTAATAACTAGCACTAAAGGGAACCACAGAGTTTGCACTCCAGCCATGCTCACAGATGATCCAAAGGCCTGCGTGTGGCTCAGACAGGACACAGGGAGGATGGAGAAGGAAGCCAAGTTAGAGCCAGCTCACCGTGGGCACACCACTGGCATCAGGCTGTTTTCTCTTGTCCACGCTGCTGTCCTTTCAGTTAGCCTTGAGTTTTCTGTGGCCCCCAGGAACCAAGTGCCAAGAGCAATCAGAGGCTCAGTCCCTCTCAGCAGCTTCCCTTTCTAAGTGAAAATACTGATAAAACAGGAACAAGACTCATCGTTACATTTACGTTTTTCTCCTTTCTTCATTTACGTAACGGTCACCGGCCGTGCCGGGTGCTGAGTGCCCATGAGAGATCAGGGACACATTCTCTGCCCACACCACTTCCACGGAAAAGCAATCTGCCATTGTCCTGTGTCACTTCACGTTACACGCACGCACTCTCAGCCAACACACCCAAGGATGCTAGCTGCTGGCCGGCGAGGATTCCACATCACAGCTTTCAGAGACAGGGCTTGGCTCGGGAGCCTCCCAACCTCTCTCCCCCCTGCCTGACCTTGCTGCGTGTCTTCCTGTTCGGGGACTCTCTCTTTTCCACAACGTGCTCCCCAGTGGATGGAGCCGTTGAGGTTGCCAACCTTGGCTTCAGACATCTCCCAGGCCTTCATTTGATGTCATCCTGATGACCTGAGATCTCAGGTGGCTCCTATATCCTGGGAATTTCCAGGATGTCTGGGTAAGATAGAGGCACTGCCCCCCACCCCCCCCCACACACAGCTCCCAATACCTCTGAGGGGACATCTGTGGTTCTTCCAGAAACTTCTTCCTCTAGAAAATGGTGATGGAAGGAAAGCACAGGACACACAGCCCATAGCTCCTGGATTTTTAATGCGTCAGATTTCCGTCATTCCAGACGCTTACTGTTTTGAGCAGAACAAGAGGCAAAGCAGATACCAAGTTTCCCCATTCCAAGATGAAAATCTTTAGTTCCTGCTCTCCTCCCTCTTCTCTTCATTTATTTTTTTTTTCTTTCTCTGTTAACATTAGTCCAAGCATTACTAAGTGCCTGGCATGGTAGTACATGAATTATGTCATCACAAGAGTTACAGGAGAGAGAGGCTTAGCTTATCCCTGTGAGTATGGATGAGGCCACTGAGGCTTCAGAGGAGCTAGGATGGGTTGGACCTGGGATTCAAACCATATGTGACTCCAGGCCATCACAAAACATGTCACCACGTGTCAAGTCCTAACTAAATGGCTGGTCTTGATGATCACCAACATCGAGTGGCCAGGAGGATAAATGAAAACTAAAACCGGAGTGGGCAGACCAAGATGATGTCCACCCCCACCAGGGAGGACTGGACACTGTTCTGCCCTGTGGAATCCAGGGCCAGAGAGGAGGGTCCCCAACATGATCACTGAGCAGAATCGTGTGTGTGCGTGTGTGACTGTGGAGCAGAAGGAGGCATGGTGGAGGGCTGGGTGGCGAACTCTCCCCTGCCTCTGCCCCGGCCTGCATCAGGGGGTTATAAACATCAGTAGCTGTGTTCTTGCCCTTGACAGTTCACAGTCTAGGCTCCCTCAGTATCCCCAGGTCACAGCTTCGGGTCAGAATGGGATGTTTAGGGGAGACCTGAAGACTGGTGAGAGTGGAGGACTCATTTCTTGAACCCTAGACCTAGACACTTGGTAGAGGTATAGCCTTTTGTCTTGGGCCCAGTGTCAGGAGAAGAGAACGTGTGGGTCAGAGAGTCCAGGCAGGCACAAGGGCACAAGTTCTGTCTTTGTCCAGGTTTGGGTCCTATCTGGATTCTCGGCCCAGAAGGGAGGATTGTACGGCTCATTTCAAGCCCTGGCTGCCTCCTTCCAAATTGAAAACAGAGGAGGGTGGAAGGAAATCTAACTGCTATGCTTTAAAACAACAAGCCCAGCCTGTCCTTGCCAGAGCTCCTCAGGAGGAGGAGAGAAAGAAAGAACAAGGAAATACCAGTTTGCTTAAAAAAAAAAAAAAAAAAAAATCCACGGGCCCCTTCTGAACTTCAACTGGGCTTAATTAAAGTTACAGACATGTTTAAAAAGAAGGGTGGAGGAGGTTCTGGAAACATGTTTTTGATTACGCTGTGGAATTTCTCCCTGGGGGATGCCTGTGCATGGTGTCCAGGACAGGGCGGGGGTGCTAAGCACGACTCTGGGGGCTGCTGCAAGGACCCCCTGGCAGGCCGGGGAGAGAACAGCTGGGGGTCTTTGTGCAGGGAGTGAAGTATTTGGTGCAGCCCCTCCAAAGCTCACACTACAGTTAGAGCAACAACACCGGCCTTGCAAATGTGTTTCAAAGATTACCAACCACACAGAGACCATGGTTCTCAGCCTTGATTGCACATGGGAATTACCTAAGAAGTGTTGCAAACCAGTCTGATGTCCCATGGGGCATGGCCTGAAATGCCCAGGTGATTCCAGCCAGGCGGTCAAACAGACACTGACCTAGGTTAATGAAGGTGATTGTTTGAGGGGCCAGGATTGCAGGCAGAAAATGGCAACCTGAATTCAGATGTGTGAAGAGGGACCCAGGCAAAGCGGTGCCAGTGTTAGGGCCACAGGAGGAAGAAAGGACTCTGATCCTGTCTCCCAGTGATGGAGGACTTAAATCACAGTGCTGTGCCCCCACCAGATGATTCAGAACAAGAATGAGTGTCTAGCATTTCTAGACAACAAGGGGTACTAGTGCAGGTTTGGAAATCTCACCCATGGGACAGGGAGGCAAGACTGGCTGGTCTCTCACTGACCTTCTGCACCAAGTTCTCTTTATAGATGGGGCAGGGCACTGGATATGGCTCATTTCTTGGGAGGCTCTAGCAGCTGCACAGTAGAGAGGGGCCATGAGTGTAAGTGGAGGGCAGGCCTACAAGATTGCAGACAGTGTTAGCTGTATTTCCTTGTGTGCATCTGTCTTTACAACCTGCTGTCACCTATAGTACCCTGTGACCTGGTGACAAGGCCATAAGGCAATAACATATGACCTGGGTTCATTGGGTGTTACTGTGTGCCCAACCTGCTTTCTGTGTTTGGCAAGGTTAACTCATCTCGATATCAAAACTTCTCTGGGATATGGGGTATGGCACCCTCCCCCCCCGCCATGTTACAGGCCAGGCCCCCTGGCACGGGGGAGATTGAGAAGGTTTACCAAGGTCGTGTAACTGAGGCAAGTGGGCTGAGTAAGAACCCCAGAACTTGGCCCCAGAGTGGTGGGCTCTTAACCCTCAGTGTACTCTATAGGACCAAAATGGCAGTCCTGTTTCGTAGGTGAGAAACCATGAGACTCAGAGGTTAAGCAAGCCCCAAAGTGGTTGAAACTCAGTCCTTCCACTCCCGAGTCAGCATCAGCACTTAGCATACCAGACCTCTCCCAACAGGCATCACTGCCAACAAGCAGCGATTCCCTTGGTAAAAAGCCAGCGTTGCAGGGATCGTCCCAGGAGGACTCAAAGACAAAGAATCTGGACTGGCATTTCGTTTCCTTGAAGCAACGTCCGGTTTCATCACTTGTACCTGCCACTCACAGAGCTTTCTTGCCGAGCCTGCTCCCCAGCCTTACCCACTGACAGAAGTATCCAGAGTGGAAGGCGAGACACCAGTGTATATACCTTAGGGCTGTGCAGCTCATTTCATCTGCACAGTGGTGATTGACTGAGCCCGTGTCATCTCCAGCTTCCCCGAGCAGTCTTCCTAGAGCAGCCTTGACAAAAGCTCACTCATTCCACCAATATTGAACCTATCGTGAGTCCTGCCTTGTGTGGGGTGCTGGGGACACATGTGGCCCCTGCTCTCAGGAAGCTTGCAGCCCATGAGGGCTCCACTTACTTACAGGAGACAGGAATACAGGCTGCTGGTGTTCCATTGCTGTGTGGTCCAGGGACCAGAATGTTAATAGTGAATGGACTGCAGGGAATAGGCCCAGCCGGGCTCCCTTGAGGATCCAACATTCCAAGCTATCAAGTATGATTGGGCCAGTCCCCTGGGTGGGGACACCAGGTAGGAATTGCCCGATTCTGGGATTTCTCACCTGTAGGAAAAGGTATAGAGAGAGCGCTGAAAACTGAGTGCCTTGAAAGACATCTGCTCTTAGTTCTTACCACACGTGCTTCCTCTACTCACCCTCCCACACGTATTCTGAGCAGAATATTCTGTAAAAAGTTACGACTGCTTAATCTGTAAATATTAAGAGACTGCCTCTCTGTAAATACTTCTGGCCAGAGGCTTAACTTCTTCCTTGGATTTTATGAGTTTCCTCAAGGTCTGTGGAGTGGGGCTTGGGTAGAAGAATATTGTGCTCACCAGTCCACAGTTCCCTCTATAATTCCTCTGGCTGACCCTTGCCCTGGGCACAGTGCCACAAAGCACATTGTCCAAGAACCAACAGCCTCTGTGAGGTCAGGAGTCTGTAAGTTCTAAATAAAGCGAAATTTAAACACCAACATTCTGCCAAATGTCAGTATCAGCTGCCTCTTCTGGGGATAACCTTCTTGTTTTAAATGACAGAAATTGCTGAAGGAAAAAATGTTGACTGTTGACTTTTCCGTGGGTCACAGTCCTTCAGTCCTTGGTTCCTTCATTCATTCAATGACCGCACAGAAGGTCTGTTATGCACTAGCAGGTAAGGTAACAGGGAGTGCAGAAGGAGCACTGGCCCTGGAGGCAGGAGGCAGGATTTTGCTTCCCTTGCTGTCACTGTCGATGTGACACTGTACAGGTCACCTGTCCTCTATGCACAGATTGACAGGTTACCAGGGAATCTTGCCACCTATGGTACCCGTTACCAGGTAGCTTATTAGGCATGCCAGATGGGGGCGCTACGGAGTCGGAACCTGGGTCCATTACTGGGAGCTTGTTAGGAGTCAGAGCCTGCGTCTGCACACACAGAAGCAGCCGCACGGCACGAGACCCATGGCCTCCACCGTCCTGAATGGCAGTCTTGTGCTTTGGGTCTTGTTTTCAGAAACAAAGGCAGAGTGGAACCCAGATGGACACGGAATCTTGTTGATAAATCAGGGCAGAGGTGGCGTTAGGGGGCGTGGGGGCAAAAGCGAGGAGTTCTTTAGATGATCATGTTAGCCGTGGGATGTGTTCTGCCTCAGTAGGTGATTTTGTCACTGTGTGAACTTCAGAGAGCGCACTTACACAAACCCACATGGTCTAGCATACTACACCTGTGCTGTATGGTGAGACGGTGTGTGTGCGTGTGTGTGCAGTGTAACCTACTGCTCCCAGGGCCACCATGAATAAAACCCAAGATTCAATCAAGCAGCAGGAGAGAAAATGATCCGCTCAGGAGACATGACACTCAGGAGGCATGGGAGCTGCTGCTGGTTGAACCGGGCACATTGTTTTACAATAATCACTTTATAAGCAGGAACTCACTCCAAAATGATGGTTGGAAGGACAGCATAGTAAATAATGCACAGGTGACACGCTGTCTGTCAGCTCTTCCAGCACTGTGTGCAGCTCCTAAGTGCAGTATTCTAATTTCATGTCACACACAGGTGAGGAACAGGCTGTACTGCAGTGGCCACTATGGTGGCAGACAGTTTTCAGCTCCACTGTAATCCTAGGGGACTGCCAAGGTATGTGCCATCCGTGGTGACAACTGTTATGCGGTGTGTGACTGCACACCCCAGCCCCATCCTGCTGTCCAGACAGCACGGAGAGAGCAAGTGCGTCTGCTCTGCTCCGCCTCCTGTGAGCTCTTAGGAAACCCGTCTTTCTCTTTTTGCTTTGTTTCTCCAGATTCGCTTTGTGGTGGAACTCGTGTGGCCTTTATCTCTGTTTTTCATCTTGATCTGGCTAAGGAACGCCAACCCACTCTACAGCCAGCATGAATGTGAGCATGGTGGGGAACCCCAGGACCCAGCTGTCCCTTCCCTTCTTGTAGGAAGGTGGGGGAGGCTGAGGTCACATCTGCTCTTGTCACTTCATGGCTCCAATGTGCCAAGCAGATTCATCAGCATTGCACAGATTCTGATGGGAGTTGTGTACGTTCTCAGCAAACACTTCCATGTGGTTCTGAAGGAATCCACTGTCATTACTATTATTATTATTATTATATCTAAACTCCCCCCGTTTCAAAGAGAACAGATTATAGATGCATCCCCTAAAATTGACCAAGTCAGGTCTATTTTTCAATAAAATGAGACTGGTGTGGAGAATGTTATACGTGATGCTAGCAGAGTGGACAGACGGACACTCCAATATCACACTTAGTAAAGTGCCATGTCTCGGAGCCCTTGGGTGCCTGGGATGCTCCCCTAAACCTTGTAAGAGCCCCTTGCGGATGTCAGCCCTCTTGGAACGCCAGTGCCTAGTTTCTGGCCACAATGCTGTCCTCTCCCTCCTGTCAGTGACCAGGAGGCCTAGGGCCTTGGGAAAGCCACCATCCCCTGTTGTTCTTGGTCTTTGTTCTCTTGTCCACTAGTGACCAGCTTTCATTTGTCAGTCAGCCTACTGTCCACCACACTCTTGCTTCTTTGCCTCACCCTCCCCCCACCCCACCCCCTTAGCCCCTCACCTTAACCTTTAACCCTGCTGCACGCATGGGGCAGACCTGTGGAAGGAATTCACAGACCTTTCCATTCAATCACCTGTCCTGAGCTGACACCCTTCTGTGCCTCTTACCACAAAATAACTTGTCCCACCTCTGTCCCCCTCCACACTTGTGTCCAGGCTTCTGCAGGGCCATTTATCTGTCCGCTCACCCCACTGGAGCCTAGTCCAGCACCCAGCACAGCGTCTGTCCGCTAATGGAGGACAGACAACAGGTAGAGCAGAGCAGCAGAGGTCATGTGCCCTTTCCTTGGGGGACCTGGGTCTCCTTGGTCTCTATGACTAACACCTTCTTGTCTTCATTTTGAAAGGCCATTTTCCGAACAAGGCGATGCCCTCGGCGGGATTGTTGCCCTGGCTCCAGGGGGTTTTCTGCAACGTGAACAATCCTTGTTTTCAAAGCCCCACCCCGGGAGAATCTCCTGGAATTGTGTCGAACTATAACAACTCCATGTAAGTGCTGAGCCCCCCACGAGAGGGAGGAAGCCGCCACCTTTCTTTCTCCTTCTGAGCTGGAGCAAAGGCACACAGAGTACGTGGCTCTGAAGAGTGCCATTGTGGCCGGCTCAGGGGCAGAGCTGCAACTGTGCTCTGTGACAGGCTATTTATGGCACCGGATCTGGGGGAAAGCTGCAAACTAAAGCCACATGAACACAATGTCTTGGCCCAAATATTTCCAAGCTGCCCCTGAAATCAGATGCATCTCCCGCTGAAATGTGTTCACTCCCCTGTGGGCACCCATCAGCTTGGGTGGGGACACGGTATGACAAAAACTGGGCCTGCTCCACCCACATCCATCTCTGTGCCTTTGAAAGCTCTCTTGGACATCTAAAGCCTAAGAAAAATCAGGGAGCATTGCAAGGATAAGAGAAATCAGGTTTGCAAGGGTAAGTTTACTTCTTGGGAGAAAATGACGAATTCCAAATCCTCTGCAATAATGGCCATCAGTGCCCTTAGACCAAGACACTGGGCTATGGCTCAAGGGCAGTGGTTCTTAGCCTTCAAGGCTGAAGACCATTTCGAGAAGCTGATAGAAATTTATGACCCCTCTCCCAAGAAAAGTAGACCCTCCCCCAGAAAACATTTCACTGTGCATTTGATTACATGTAAAATCTGGTCTAAGGCTGAATTTCAAGTCAGATCACACAGGAGAAAAGCCCATCTTTGGAATTCCCTCCAAGCAAGGGATTGCATAAGGGAGAATAGGTAGGACCATCCTTCACCTGCTGTCCTGACCTTGATCTGCACCTTGTGAAGGTCAGACCTGAAGACCATGACAAGGGCTTACTGGGGAGTGGGCTTTACCGTAACTGTGTAAATACCAGGTTCCATGGAGACCGTGGTATTGGTGACTGGTTTTTTCCATAGAGAGCTCACGTAATTTCCCAGGACAACCTGCACTGAGATTTTTAGAGGAACACTTGGAAGGTCAGCCTAAAACTGTGAGGTGGCATTTCCCCACCAGGGACAAACAATGGGGCTGCTTTTGCCCAACAATGGCAGTGCTGAGTTGTTGCGGTCTATGAGCCTGTGATATTCAACTGCTGATAAATATCATACAGTAAATATGCCTAAATTCAGGAAAACAGAATAGGGACACCGTTCTTCCCAGGAACATTAGGACAGTGACATTTTAGCTGGGTTCTTGTTGGCTGTAAAGCTACCTAGAATCTTTTGTTCACAGTCTACGCTTTTGGCCTGAGACTCCTCGAGGTTCCTGAAAAGACCCGTCTACCCATCCAGAAAGACCCTGTGCGCACATGGCGGTGAAGGCCACAGAAGCTTCAGGGAACTGGGACTGACAATGTGTGTAGATGTCCCTGAGGAAGACGGATGGCTGGGAGTGGGGGACAGAAGCTCCAGACACCAGTAGACTTGACTTGAATGAGGAAATCTGCGTTTGCATTTCATACACACACATTCTCAGTGAAATATTGGCTTATCTGAGGTGTTTTGCTTGCAAAGCACAGAAACCCATTTGAACAAGCTTGGGCCTCTAGAGGAAACAGATTATTTGGATACATGGCTAAGGCTCTCGCAGAACCAAGGACAGCAAGGCAGACCTCAGGAGGGCAGGGACAGAGCTGGAGAGCCACCAGGCGCTGACCCCTTGCTCTTCCTATCAGAGCCTGCAAGGTCCAGGCTGTGTACCTCTCTGTGAATCCACAATATTCACCTCTCTCCCCTGCCCCTCCCTCAAGGCCCAAGCTGGGCTGGTCATCCAGTTCACAGGACCTCAGCATAGGCAATCAGAAGAGCATCCCTGAATCCTGTGCAAATTCCTGGGAACACATTTGATTGACCCAGCTTCCTTCTCCCTCACCAATCAGCTTGGCCGAGGAGTGTGCATCGTGTATTCACTCATGCATGTGTGCATATGTGTGCACAGGGGAGACCTGGTGGATGAAGTGTGGATGTCAGAGCCTGCCCTATGCCTGGGTGGAGGCGCAGGTCTCCAGGAAGTGGATAAAGGCTGGGAAGAGCCTCTGATAATATCATAGCATTTAAAGTTTCTCAGGACAACAAAAAAGAGCATGGAGTTGACAAGTGGTCCTACCCTCCCAAACTAGAATATGAACTCACCACCCCTGTCTGTTATCCTGCATGTGCAAAGAAGAAAATGCTCTCTTTCCCCCTTTGTAGTGGCAGTGCTATAAAACCCACACTGTAGTTTTGAAGTGAAGCATCATTTTGAAAATGACAGCTATTTCTTTATCCATGAGACTTTGTCCTTCTTGCAGCTTGGCAAGAGTGTACCGAGATTTTCAAGAGCTTTTCATGGACACACCAGAGAGCCGGCACCTTGTCCAGGTCTGGACAGAGCTCCGCACCTTGTCCCAGCTCATGAATGCCCTGCAGACTCATCCCGAGAGATTTGCAGGTAAGCTGGCTTCTGCATTCTCACTCATCAGAGACTGGAGCAGTAGGAAAGACACTTGAGTGGGAAGACACTTGAGGGGGCAGGGAAGGCTGGGCTGCAAAGGTGACAAGAGGGTCACCTTGGTGAAGAGTTTCTACCTCCACACCAGCCTGGCAGGAGGCCGGGAAGGGTCTCACCCTAGCATAAGTCTAGGGATAGAAAGAAGAACACTAAGACAGGTGGTGCTCTGGGAAGTGGGAGGCTGGATCAAGGGCTGAGAGCAGGGAAAAAACAGCAACGTAAAAGTGTGCCACAGTGCACACTGAGCCCTAGGAAGACAGCCGACAGGGACATGTTGAAGCCATGCTAAGTGTCAGGGAGGGCAGTGCACGTGTCGATCGTGACATAAAACTGAGCAATCATAACCCAGGCATGGTGGCGAACACCTGCAGTCCCAGCACCCGGGAGGCCACAAGTTCAAGACCAGCCTGGGATACATAGGGAGACCTTATCTCAAAACAAAAAAAAAGGTACAATTTCTTCCAGTAACATTTAGCACACAGGCTGAAGCAGGGCAGGTAATTTGTTACATCACCCCCATCCTCTCTCCCCCTCAACTCCATCCCTACCCCACTCAAAGCAATTGCAAGAGGTTTCTTTGTTCTATTTCATATAAGTATATGAAGTCCATCAACCATATACCCTCATATTCATCTCCTTTATTCATCTTCCTCTCTCCTCTGGTACCTCCCTCCCCCACACTGTACCTATTTTACAGTCCTGTCTTTCATTATTAATATTTAAGTTGATGTTCAAAGGGGTTTCTCAGTGTACCCCTGCTGTGGGTGTACTTTACTTTGGTCCATTCAACCCCTTCCATTGCTCTCCTTTACCCCTTTACCTCCCACCCTCCATTTTTCAACAGCTTTCAGTACACATCCTTGTGTCCTCTACCTTCACAGATGTGATGTTTTATGATATTACTGATGTTCTATCATTCTTTTCCTTTCCCTCTTTCACCCAGTTCCATAGAGTGGTTCCACTGTTACAAACGTGTTCTACATCTGAGTTTGTATACAATCATGTTTGTTTTTATGTATAGATTTATCTTTTGGATCTGTCTTCCACGTATAAGAGAAAACATGTGGCCTTTGTCTTTCTGAGCCTGGCTTCCTTCACTTAACATGATGTGCTCCAATTGCATCCATTTACCTTCAAACTCCATGTCATTCTTCCTTATGGCTGAGTAATATTCCATTGTGTGAATATACCACATTTTCTTGATCCATTCATCAGTTGTAGGGCACGTGAGTTGTTTCCAAAGTTTGGCTGTTGTGAATAGTGTTGTGATGAACATCGGTGTACAGGTGTCTCTACTGTATCCTGTCTTATGTTCCTTTGGGTAGATACCAGGAGCAGTATCACTGGATCATATAGCAGTTCTATCTCTAGTTTTTTGAGGAATCTCCATACTGCCTTTCATAGGTTGTACTAATTTGCATTCCCCCCAACAGTGTATAAGGGCTCCTGTTTCTCCCCATCCTTGCCAGCATTTGTTGGTTTTATTACCCTTGATTCTGGCCATTCTAACTGGGGTGAGATGAAATCTTAGTGTAGTTTTGATTTGCATCTGTTTTATAACCAGGGAAGTTGAACAGTTCTTCATATACTTACTGGCCATTTATACCTCTTCCTTTGAGAATTTCCTAATTCTTGTGCCTGTTTCTTCATTGGGGTGTTGACTCTTTGGGGGTTGAAAAATCAAAGAAGATGTCAGAAGATGGAAAGATCTCCTGTGTTCATGGATTTGCAGAATCAACATTGTGGAAATGGCCATACTACCAAAAGCAATCTACATGTTCAACACAATCCCCATGAAAATTCCAATAACATTCTTCACAGATATAGAAAAATCAATCCTGAAATACATATGCAAACAGAAAAGACCTCAAATAGCCAAAGCAAATCTGAGCAAAAAGTCCAATGCTGGAGGTATCACAACATCCGACTTCAAACTCTACAACAGAACCATAACAATAAAAACAGCATGGTATTGGCACAAAAACAGACAGGAAGACCAATGGATCAGAATAGAAGATCCAGACATAAACCCATACTTCTATAGCCAACTGATCTTCAATAAAGGAGCCCAAAACACATAATGGAGGAAACACAGCTTCTTCATCAAATGCTTCTGGGAAAACTGGATCCCCACTTGTAGAAGGCTGAAACTAGATCCCTGCCTTTCACCCTGTACCAAAATCAGCTCAAAGTGGATCAAAGACCTTAATATAAGGCCTAAAACTTCAAAACAACTCCAGGAAGCAGTAGGAAATACACTGGAACAGTAGATATAGGGAATGACTTCCTAAACAGAACTCAAAAGGCTCAGCATCTAAGAGAAACAATGAACAAATAGGACTGCATCAAACTAAAGAGTTTCTGCAAAGCAAACAGTCACCAGACTCAAGAGACAGCCCACAGAAAGGGAAAAAATCTTTGCCAGCTATTCATCCGATAGGCACTAATATCCAGAACCTATAGGGAACTCAAAAAACTCTGCCCCTGAAGAATCAACACCCCAGTGAAGAAATGCTTTGCTTATTTTTGAGATGGGGTCTCACCTTATGACCAGGTTGGCCTGAACTGAAATCCTCCTAGTGACAGGCAAGCACAACCACACCCAACCATTGGTTGACACGGAGTCTTGCGAACTTTTTGACTGGAGGGGCCTTGAGTCACTACAATTAAAGACTTGAGCCATGGTGCCTGGTGAGGCAGACTTTTTAATTAACTGTCCAATCATCAAATTGAGTCTGGGTGGAGGAAGTGGAAGGGTGGTAATTCCAAACCTTATGTTCCCTGAGGCCAAAGGCAGGGCTGATTTCGAACTGTCATCAGGTGGCTGTTTCTGCAGGCCTTCAGGCTATGGGAGAATTCCCTAAGGAGAGCAGGTCTGGGGACCAGGGGTCAGGGAAGGCCAGCCAAGGCTCCCCAATGGCCTGTGACAGACATTGCAGAATTCCCAACCTTAGGACCCTGCCAGACGACAAGGCACATCCCCAAGTAAGGAATACGGTCCAGGCCAGGGTCTGCAGTCCACTGTCAGGACAGCAGTCTGTTTCAGAGACTGTCTAGGAGTTACCTGGGGTATTGGTCAAGGTGAATGCTGAATCCTTTGCCCAAAGTCACAGTGAAGAGCTGAACCTTGGAAATCATGGTGGGTGGGGGGCAGAGGCTGGGTGTCCTTTTGCCTGTGAGGTCCCCAGTCACTGGGAAAGTATGCAGGTGGGTGACCGGGGCAGCACCTCCCCACTGCAAACCTGTAGTACAGCATTCTCAGCAGGGGAGGATCTTTGGTGAAAGACCAGACTCCAAGCCAACCTGTGAGCCCCTTCCCCGAGCCTCACCCTCACCCCAGCCCTCAGCTCCCTCAGCCCCCAGCCCCAGCCTCTAATCTTCCCAGGGAAGAAAACAAGAAGAACCACATTTTAAGTGACACGTCTTTTTCTGTCCCCAGGCCCTCAGTTCACATTTCTCCCTCAGGAATCCAAGGACGAACCTGTCAGGGATCACAGCTGCCTCTTAGACTTTGGGCCCCATGTTCTCCCAACAGGGTGGCCCCCACTCCTAACTCTTGTGAACCAGCCCACTCCTGCCTTTCTCCCCAGGGCCACTGCAGCTGGTCACCTGGGTGGTACATTGTATGCTTCCCAGGAAAAAAAGAAAAAAAAAAAAAGACTCCCACTTTCCCTGTCTTGCCAGGCTGCCAGAAAGATATGTGTGTGTGAGGTCAGCTGAGCAGGTTAAAGAATAACGAAGAGATAAACACCCTGGACCCCAGACATTTATTGAGCATCTCACATTACATCGTTCAGCAGACGTTTATTGAGGTCCTGATTCCATGTCAGGCGAGAGGGATGACCTCAGGGGCTTACCTCTGTGAGCCTAAAACTGCTGGGAGTATAAGAAGAGCAGGAGGGTGTCCACGCGCATGCATGCGCCTGCGTGTGCTCAGGGAGGTATCAGGGCCACCTCTAAAGGAGGAACTGGGAGAAAAGTAATTGAACTGGTTGAGAAGTTGGGCCCCAAAAGAGGAGGAAAGCAGAGGGAGGTGAGTTTGGAAGGGGACTGGATTTGTGCTGTCCACAAGAAGGCAAGAATAAAAACGTAGCTCCTCCTACCCCAAGGGGCCCTGTATTCAGGTTTGTCCAAAGTCCTTGGACTTTTCTTGTGCAAAGGGGCATGAGAGTGGCTACCTGACTGTCAAGACACCCATCCTCGTGGCAAGAGAGGCTGCTGGGTGGGAGCCTCGGAGCCACTTGTCTCTGCCCTAGCTTGTGACCCTAGCCCTTTCAAGAGGAATTTACCAGCAATGTTGATCTGGCCAAGGCACCATACTGGAAAAGTCACAACCCAAAGGTGGAGAGGAAGGTTGTGAAGGTCTCCCCACATTGGCTGATTGGGGAGGGAGACCTGAGGTGGGAGGGAATGATTTGCTGTGGCGTTGAGGTCAGGAAGGTGCAGGTGTACGACGTGATTCAAGCAAATTAGAAAAGAAGCAGGAAGTAAGCAGTCCCCTGAAGATCTTGGGGTGTGAGGACGGGCACTTCACACAGGCCTTAGAAGTCGAGGCCTGTGAGATCCTCATGGCCACCTCACAGCAGAGGGGGCAGGTGCTGGCTATGAATCCCCCTCCCCACCCCAGGGGTAGGAATAACGTCAAAGCCATCAGAGCAAGCATGTATTGAGCGCCATTTTCAGGACTAGAGGCTGAGCGCCTCCCATTCCTTCATCCCTTGTCACCCCCACAGGGACCCTGAGAGGTAGAGTGGAGTGAACACAGGGAAGCTTCTCAATGCTTGCCCCAAGGCTGCCTTTGCTGTTACAGTCCGGCAAGCCTCATTATACAGGAATTCCTGCTTCCAGCAGGTTCTGAATGAAACTGGAGAGGATGGGACTGAGGCTGACCAGGGCAAGCCCAGGCAGCAGGCCTGGCTGTCCTCGCCCCAGTGGAAGCTCTTCTTGACCTTCTTGACCTTAACCCACCCCTCAGTCGACACCAATGCCCTGAGCATGGAGCCTGAGTTGAAATGACAGGAATGCCAAGAAGGATCCTCTCTCTGCAGTGTGGGCAGAGCACACACTTCTTCCTAGACTAGGGCTTCTCGACCTCAGCACCCTCAACCCTTGGGGCAGATTATCTTCCTTTGGGGGAAAAAGTTGTCCTGCGTGTTGAGGACTGTTGAACAGCACTCCTGGCCTCAACCCACTAGCACTGCCCCAATGGGACAACCTCCCAGAGCGTCTCAGAGGACTCAAATTGCTCTGCTGCATTCCCCCATCCCACCCTGTGGAAAGCCATTGGCCTAGATGACCCCACAAAACACCCCAAGCCCCATCTGCCCTAAGCTAACCCTTCCCACCTGTGCTTCCCACTGAATTGTGCCCGGCTGCTTCAGCAGTGACGCCATGACTACGTAGATGACTTCATCCATCTACCTGCAAGAGCGTGACGTCCCGGTGATCCTGGGGAACCCAAGAAGTCAAGTTAGAAGTGTGTCCAGTCAACTCTGGCTGTTTTCCTTTTCTGTGACCCATGTCCCCTTCACCACCCTGTCTATTCTCTCATTTACCTACAGGAAGGGGACTACAAATTCAGGATATCCTAAAAGATGACGAGACACTGACACTGTTTCTCACGAAGAACATTGGCCTGTCCAGCTCAGTTGCCCACCTTCTGGTCAGCTCCCAAGTCCGTGTGGAGCAGGTAAGTGGGTGTCGTCCTGTGGACCTTGGATGGGAAGGATAAGCACAGAGCCTGGAAAAAGCAGTAGATAGCTTGGCCTTTTCTTTTCCCTCTTGCTTTCACACTCAGACTCCATGACTCGCACCTTATGAGCATCCCCATCACAGGACAGACCCCGGCATTGCTGCAACATCCTCAGGTTTTTGTAACTGGAAGGAAGCCTGGCGATCCTGCAGCTCATCCTCCCCTGGGGGCCAATGAAACCCGATCTATTCAGTCACTCAAAACTTCATGACGACTGAGGTTCCAGCACAGAGTGTGGAGGAGGCAAAGCCCCTGCTCCCGTTCCATGGCGTGACAGTGGTAATCTAAGTGCAGGAAGAGACTACCAGGCGCTTCCCAGCTGTCAGCAGTCATTGGAAGAACAGGAGGGGTGGGAAGGGCGGCCAGTTAGAGTGGGGACACTGAGGACAAGGAGGCCATGCACATATCTGAGAGGAGGGTTCCAGTGTGTGCTCAGGTCACCTCCCAGGGTCACAGAAGGGCCACCTCTGCTTTCTGAACACGTTCTTCCCAGTGTCAAACTCCTCCTCCTAAGCTCCTCGCACATCTCTGACCTATACAACCCACAATTTATCTCATCCATTTTAATAATTTCCTGTGTTTTTACCGAGTGTTTTTATTACACATGCATGGCTTTCTCCTTTTTACGACACATGCATTGTTAGCTCTTTTGTCCCTCACAATAATCTTGAAATGGCTTAAACATTTGGGGAAACTGAGGCATATGCTGATGGGGTGATTTTACACACAGTTACAGCTAGGGATTGTCAAGGCCACTGACAATTGCTGGTCCTGTGTTTCTTCCATAGTCTAGTAAGAACTAGACTCGGTTCATGGAATATGCATCATGGGCTCTGAGTCCAGAGACCTATGGGTGCTGTGCAGGACTGCCAGCTCAGCTCCCCTGCCCAGCCTGGCTGAGCCCAAGGCTCTGGAGTTGGGGCCCAGCCTCCTGCCTCAGCACGTCCTCCAGGACACTGGCAGACTCAAGTGTGGGGCCACTGCTCTTGTCTGGGCCTCCCAGGGTCCCATCCCACAGTCCTGGGTGTGTAGGTTTGGGGATGACCGGGAACACTGTGACAATGGAAGACTGGCAATGGCCAAGGGCCTCACATCCTCCTGACTCACCCCCTGGCCGGGTCTGAGCCTCTCCCAACTCCAGGAGAGACCAGCACACAAATGGAGAATATCAGAGCCATGCCAGAGTCTGAACCCAGAAGAGGAAGGTGACCCCAGCCCTCCTCTGGGGACATGTCACAGTGGTTCCCTGCATCCATGCTGCTTTTCTGACTGCTCAGGCCCTGGGGTTTTCACCAGGGAGTCAGGTCAGCTCCTGGAGAGGCCCTGGGACACAGGCCTGGCTACCTGGCACTGCCCAGCTGTCCTCTCACCCGGCCAAGGACAGGTGTCATGGTAACCATTACTCATTTTCCCCCTCGCTTTGTCCTTGGCTCATAAAACTCCAGTGCTGGTGATGTCTGTGAGATTTCCAGTCAATAAGAAGAGGGAGATGGAGATGGGGCAGGAATTTAGGGGAAATTTCTTTCCAGTTCCTACCAACGTGACATAGCACCAGGGCTTGAGGCCTCTTGTGGGGAGGGCAAGAGGCCAGGGTCACCAGATTGTGCCCTTACCGGGTGTCACCAGCTCTGAGGAGCTAATGCTCCTGGATTAGCAACCCCAGACCCTCCTGTGCTTTGCAAAGCCCTTCAGGCTCGTCTGGTCCCCATGATCTCTGCACTGCCCAGGCCACCCTGCTACTCAGCCAGTCCTGGAACTTGAAAGGCAGACCTTGATCTCCATCCACCTCTGCACCTCCTCGTCAGCATGTCCCCTAGAACCTTCAGCCATGATGACCATGGTCCCTCTCTGCTCCCCACGGTGGCTCTGCACAATTGCTAACCCTTGTTAAGCAGGGATGGGGTGTCCCTTCTGGCCCTTCCGCCCAGCGTCTGAGCCAGCTCAGAAAGGAGTCCCGTGGTCCCTCTGCCATCCGGGGACAGGAAAAGGAATGAATCACTCTGTGTCCATTCCCTCATTTGTAGATGGAAGTAAATGAAGTGCCCACATCTACAGGTGGTTGTGGGAGTAAAAGAATTCACACCTATGAGGCAATTAGGATGGCACCAGGCAAACGGGAGACACTCAGTACACGCCTCCTGTCACATGCGTCCTCCTGCATCCTGGTTTCACTGTGTGTAAACTCACTCTTGCTGCAGGAAACTTGCCTCATTCATCTCCGTGTCCCCACACACTATCGTGGTCCCTGTGCAAAGGGAAGTTGATGAACAGGCGTTGAGAGAAGGAATGACTGAGTGGGACTTTCATGGTGTACCAGATTTCCTGCCAGCAGCTGTGCAAGTTTCTCAAGTCACCTGACCCTCCCTCCATCCTTTCCTTCCTCTGGAGTGTGAGAGGCTCAGAGAAAAGGAGTTTATTGATTCTTTCCACCTGGGGGCTTGGAGACAAGGGTGGGGTGAGGAGGGTGGTGAGCCAGGCATGGTAATGTAATCCTAGCTACTTGGGAGGTTCAGATCAGGAGGATTGCAGTTTGAGGCCAGCAAGAAGTTCACGAGACCCAGCCTTGACCAACAGCTGGGTACTGCGGCATGTCCCTGTTATTCCAAGATTCTTGGGAGGCCAAGATCAGGAGGGTCTCAGTTCCAGGCCAGCCATGACAAAAAAAAAAAGTTCATGAGACCCCATCTCAATGGAAAAAAGCTGGGTCATGCCAGCATCTGGGAGAAGTATAAAATAGGAGGATCGTGATCCAGGCTACCCCAGGCAAAAAGTGAGACTGTATCTCCAAAATAACCAGAGCAAGAAGGGCTGGAGATGTGGCTCAAGCCGTAGAGCGCCTGTCTAGCAAGTGCGAAGCCCCGAGTTCAAATCCCAGTCCCACCAATACATAAAACAGGAAGTGAGGTGAGGGTGAGCAGGAGGACTCTGGGAGCACACACCAGGTTACAGGCCCTGGAGATTCAGAGTCAGCCAACCCATTGCCCCTCGTGGAGGGACCAGGGTTCCAGCTTCCATGCCAGAGAAATGCACAGCTGGAAGCCACAGGGAGACTACAGTGTCCAGGCAGTCTCGGGAGTTTGCTGAGGGTACTCAGAGTCTTGTTCACAGCAGGGAGTCCAGACTCCAGGATGCAAGGCACTACACAGGACAGCAGAGGACCCCTGACCAGGGTGGATGCCCCTCCCTTGTCCCCTTTGCCTCCCTGGCCATGGTGGGCATATGGTGCCTCAGAGGTCACTGTCTGGGAGCTGTGTGGTACATGCTACACAGGCCTTAGGGCCTCAGGTAAAATGGGTGCCTGCTTAAATCTGACCTTCAGATGAACAACAAGAAGTTGCACAATATGTGCCACTGAGATCCTAGTTGAGTCATGTTTGTACTAAGAAATTATTTGTTTCTCTGAAATTCAATTTTAGGCATCCGGTATTCTTATATACTAAATCTGGTGAGAATTAGAGGAAGCGGTTGGTCATTTGCCATCACTCACTGCGAGTACACTCTGGCCAGTCCTCCACCCCAGCCTCGGGAGGCTTTCTGACAAACTGAGGCTTGGGGAGCGTTTGAGTTTCCTATTGCTGCTGTAAGGACTTGCCATAAACCTAGTGTCTTCCACAGCACTGGTTTATGGTCAGATGATTCTGGAGGACAGAGGTCTGGAAGTCAAGATGCAGTGAGGACAGTGTTCCCAATGGTGGGGGTGGTGTCTCATCTTCTCTAGCCACCAGAGGCTGGAGGTCCCCTCCCCCTGCAAGGCCAGCAATGGCCCCTCAACCTTTCTCAGGCCACGGCATTCTGACCGTGTTTCTTCCTCCCTCCTTCTTCCACTCTTCCAGGATCTTTGTGATTACGTGAGACCCACCCAGACAACTCAGAAGAATTGGCTGATTCTCCCAACCTTTGCATTAGTATACAATAGTCGTCATACAGGGGTTCACTGTGACATTTTCCTGTCTGTGCACCTCAGTCAGGTTCCTCCCCCCACTAATCTCCCTCAGCCTCCTCCCGCTTCTTAATGGGACTGTGATGGGTTTCAGTGTTCCATCTTCATTCACCTTTAGAAAATACATCAACCAAATTCACCCCCTTTACTCTCTTCCTTCCCCTTCTCCCTCCCACTCGTGCCTCCCCGTAGCACGACCTATTCAGCATTCCCGTCCTTCCTTGTCTGTTCATCGTTCAGTGGGGTCTTACCGTGGCACTTTCCTGTGAATATATCGTACTTTAATCAGTCTCAGCCCTCTCTCTCTCTTCCTTATCTTTCTCTTCCTGCCCTGTGTCGTTCAACAGTTTTCAGTGAGTTTCATTGTGTTTTGCTCCTACACAGATGCAGTGTATTTCAGTAATTATTCACTCTTACCATTTTCTTCTTTCCCTTTTCCCTAGTCTCCTCTAACAGTCCCACTAGTAGAGACATGTTCTGTATATATTTGTAAATATGATAATGCTTGTATTTGGATCCATCTTCCACATATGAGAGAAAAAATTTGACCTTTTTGTCTTTCTGAACCTGGTTTACTTCATTTTACATGATGTTCTCCAGTTCCATCCATTTACCGGCAAATGACAAAATTTCATTCTTTATGACTGAATAATATTCCATTGTGTATAAACAGCACATTTTCTTAATCCATTCACCAGTAGTGGGGCATCTTGGCTGTTTCCATAACTTGGCTATTGTGAAGAGTGCCGCAATAAACATGGCTGTGCAGGTGCCTCTGGAGTAACCTGTGTCACATTCTGTTGGGTATATCCCCAAGAGTGGGATTGCTGGATCATATACAGATCTATGTTTAGTTTTTTAAGAAGCTTCCATATTGTTTTCCAGAGTGATTGCACTAGCTTGCATTCCCACCAGCAATGTACAAGGGTTCCTTTTTCCCCACATCCTCGCCAACACCTGTTGTTGGTGGTGTTTTTGATGATAGCTATTCTAAGAAGGGTGAGGTGGAATTTTAGTGTGGTTTTCATTTGCATTTCCCTTATGGCTAGAGATGGTGAGCATTTCTTCATGTGTTTTTTGGCAATTTTGTACTTCCCCAGAAAAATTTTTGTTCATTTATTTGCTCGGTTCTTCATTAGGTCCTTGATTCCTTGGGAGGTTAGTTTTTTGAGCTCCCCGTAAATTCTGATTACTAATCCCTTGTTAGATGTATAGCTGGCAAAAGATTTCTCCCATTTTGTGGGTTGCCTCTTCAGTCTAGTGATTGTTTTCTTTGTTGGGCAAAAGCTTTTTAGTTTCATGTAGTCCCATTTGTCAATCCTTTCTTTTTAATTGCTGAGCTATTGAAGTTCTATTTAGGAAGTCATTGCCTATGCCTATATGTTCCAGTGTATATTATTTATTCTTTCTTGCCATAGTTTCAAAGTTTCAGGCCTTATATTAAGGCTCTTGATCCAGTTTGAATTGGTATTTGTACAGAGTGACAAACAGCATGGATCTAGTTTCAGTTTTCTGCAGGCAGATATCCAGTTTTCCCACAACATCTGTTGAAGAGACTAGACTGTCTTTCTCTATCGTGTTTTTGGCACCTTTGTTAAAAATCGGGCAGATGGAGCTGCATGGATTCATATCCGGGTCCTCTATTCTGTTCCACTGGTCTTCATGTCTGTTTTTGTGCCAGTCCCATGCTGTTTTTATTGTTATTGCTTTGTAATATAGTTTGAAGTCAGGTATTGTGATACCTCCAGCATTGTTCTTTTTGTTGAGTATTGCCTTGGCTATTCGTGGTCTCTTGTGCTTCCAAATGAACTTTGGGATTGACTTTTCAATCTCTGTTTATCTTAAAATCAGCTAACTAGCAACCTCAATTCATCTGAAATCTTTATTTTTCTTTTAGGGGTACTGGAGTTTAAACTCAGGGTCTTGCACTTGCTGGGAAGGTGTTCTACCACTTGAGCCACCATCCTCACCCTTTTTACTTTAGTCTATTTTTCAGACAGAGTCTCCAGATATTTCCCCCGGGTTGGCTTTGACCTTGATCCTCCTTCTTCCACCATCCTCATAGCAAGAATTACAGATATTCACAGCTTGTTTTTGAGATAGGGTCTCACTTTTTTTTTCCTGGCTGGCCTTGAACCAAGAGCCCACCATCTCCGACTCCCGAGAGGGCACTTCAGCCTTAACCCGCTCTGTGGTAGAACATGATGTATTCACAGACCCTGTGGTCAGGACCAGGGCAGCTGTGTGCAGCAGGGTACAGGAAATACCACAGCAGCAGTATGTCCTACCAGGAGCTCTCCAGTATTGCCTTTCCTCTCTGCAGTTTGCTCATGGAGTCCCAGACCTGGCTCTGAAGGACATTGCCTGCAGCCAGCCACTCCTGGACCGCTTCATCATCTTCAGCCAGCGTCGCGGGGCACAGACTGTGCGTGGTGCCTTGTGCTCCCTCTCCCCGGGCATCCTGCAGTGGATGGAAGATACTCTGTATGCCAACGTGGACTTCTTCAAGCTCTTCCACGTGGTAAGGGCCTGGCTCTCTGCTCCTCTCTTGGAAGGCAATTCCTGGGGCGGGCAGGCCATCAGGGACTCAGGAATTGACAGTGGGGAAGGCCTGAGTTGGGTTTAGGACAAGCTGTGAGGCCCAGGAAATCTGAACAATAGTATTTCTAGAATAGTGGCCAGAGACAGGAGACATGATGAAGTTGACCCCTGGTGTGGTTAAGGAAGGAAGAGGCTGCTTTGATTCCTTCCTTACCATTTCCAACTCCCATTTTGGTCATTGTAGGCAAGAGGCTGAACTTTTCCTGGTCCACAGACTGCTTTATAGAATGTAGGAAAAGATATAGGGAAAACTATGTGCAAAGCATTTAATGAACATCAATAAATGAGTTTCCTGCTCTTTCCTCTAGGTCTAGACTTGACCCCAAAAGCTGCAATTTCTAGATAGGAAAAAAAATAGAAAATTTATAATCTCAAAAAATGTGGAAGTACTAAGGTTCTCCTTTGGTACTTTATTTCAGACAGACTACTTGGGCCTGACAGTGTCTCCTCCTTTGCTAGAGGATAAAATGAGAAAGAATTTTAAAAAGGAGGTGGTTTTCTTTTGCATACATTTTAATTTCTGGGACTATGCCAGTCACTGGGATTGAGGAATTTGTATTTTGTCTGTTTTTAAGGTTGTTTTCCCAAGTCCCAGAAAATCCACTCAGCTTGACTTAAAAGCAAGCTAAAGGCTTTTAAACATGAAACAAAATAAAACAAGACCCCACAGTTTCTGGCAGAGTTCATTGTGAATCCCTTTCAAACTGTGACTTTCCCTTGGAAGTCACTCTACAATTCTCCCAGCTCAGCTATGTGTGCCTCCAAAGCGGGTAAGAGGGGTCAGGACCTGGGGATGCCACCACTGCTGAGCCTTCAGGACCCCAAAAAATGTCTTGAGGCTTCCCACACTGCAGAGAGAATAAAAGTCCATGTGGTCCAAACAGCTCTGTCCAAAGTTACAAAAGGAACACAATTTTAGACACACTCTGTGGTTTGTTTCAGAATCAGATGGGAAAGTGAGTAGCTGCACCCCCAGGAGACTGGGCCTTGCTGCAGAACCACAGGGCCCCTGCCATGGGGACAGGGCCAGCATGTACCTGTGGGGTAGCATGAAGGATACCTGTGAACACGTGTGAGCAGGGCCTGGGCTGTGCAATCTTGTCATTAAGAAGGGAGCATGCTTCTTGTCTTGAAGCACCTTAGCTGCTGGAATAAGTGAGCTTACCTCCTGGGGCACAGCCATCCATTCAGAGATGTTGGTCCCGGGTGTAGCAGGGTAAGGGCACACCAGGACAGAACTCTCCATTAGTGACTGGACATTGTGTTTCTCAGCTTTTCATTTCTATAACTAACATCTGAGATAATCAACTTACAAGGAGAAAAAGGTTATTTTGATTCACAGTTCTGGAGGATCCAGTCCAAGATCTGGTGGACATATCACTTTTGCTCCTGTGACAAGAACTGCACGATAGAACAAAAGCACTTACCTCATGTCCAGTGAGCAAAAGAGAGAGGAAGGGCCTAGGGTCCCAATATCCACTCAAGTGCACACCCCAATGATCTAAAGACCTCCCACCAGGGCCTGCAAATTAAACATTCCACCACCTCCCAAAGGCACCAAGTGTGCAACACATATGCCTTCAGGGAAACTCTGAACCCGAAGACTTTGAAGACCCCAAACTCAGGTCATGACTTTAGAATGTTCACTTATCAAACAAGAAAGATCAGAAAGTTGGGGCTGGTGGAGTGGCTCAGGTGGTACAGCACTTGCCTAGCAAGCGTGAAGCTCTGGATCCAAACCCCATTACAGACAAAACTCACAAACAAATAACAAAAACAACAGAAAGTCTTTCCTTCTGCCTTTCTTTGGGTTCAGACAAAGGGACTGACTTTTGCCAGTTGTCCTCACTGACGTCAGATGGGTCAGGGTGCTCGCTCAACATCTCCGTATGTACATCCACGTCTCACACCTGAACAGACACCTGCCAGTGATCAGGCGCTGCCCTGAGGCCAAGGTCCAGCCATGGACCTCCCACCTTCCCTCAACTCACAGACCAGAAACAAACAAACCCTGTTACACAGCAGCGCAGCTGTGAAAGACCAACCCCCACCCCATCTGTCCCCCACAACAGCAGTTCCCAGGCTTGGCTACACTTGCTGAGCCCCCACTCCCTGAAATCCTGAGTCAGTTGGTGCAGGGTACAACCCGCATATCTGTATTTTTGAGAGCTTCCCAGATAATTCCAAATTCCAGCTAAGGCCAAGAATCCCTGACCTACAACAAAGGAATTTGTCTACTTCCTATAAATCGAGTAAAGTCATTTTGCACCCAAATCCCTCTGCGGCTTTGAGCCCTCGATCACCCTAAGTCCAGGTGCTGCTAAGATGCTCCCTCCCACCTGTTCTCTTAGCAGAGCTGGAGAGCCCCCGAGCCTGGAGTAGACCCACACATTGCCTAGACTACACCCCAGCCTCCGTTGACTCCTGATGATAGTCCCCATTTTACAATCTCCTGCTTCCACCTCTGTGTGGAAAACACCTGACCAAAACAGGACACATGGGCCCAAACAAGGAGCAAACACCCTGTCCAGCCAGCCGGTGCCCCTCCAATGTGCTACTCCATTGGATAGTGGATACAGCAGCTCAACATTTAAACAAATATAAAATAAAGAACTTGACTAAATTGCAAGCATTCAGCTAGGCATTTAGTTTTATTGCTTCCGTATCCAACCTAGCAGTGCTTTTAGGAAAACGACCCTGAGGCAGGCACACAGCAGCTAGGGAAGACCCTCACCCCTCCCAGGGGACCATAGCCAGCCTCTCCAGCCTGGCTGTTTTTGCAGCTGGTTGGCACACAGCCACAGGTGCTGGGCCGGCTCTCCTCCTCGGCTGTTTGTCTTGTGCATGGAGCCAGTGTAATAAGGTTTTTCTTAAATGTCAAGTCAGTTCTCATTAACAAACAGAGAGGAAAAACCTCAGTGAGCCACTGTGAGGGCGCCTGCCCTGTTGTGTATGAGCTGGGATGGGGGTGGAAACCTGGGGAGGGGGTTAGCACCTACTGTGGCCAGCTGTGTTTTTGCTGTGTCCTTCGGAGGTCAGAAGTGAATGTTGTCATCCTCAAATAATCCAAATGCAGTGCCCATGGCCTTTCCACACCCGCCCCCCAGCAGGCACACACACACACACACACACACACACACACACACGCACACGAATTAGTGACCTAGATCGGCTGGGAACAAAACAAGCCAGGTGGCTGAGTTTTCTCCAGGATTTCACCCCCTTGGTTTCACCTCCGTCTGGATGGCTTGAAAGAACTTGTTTTTACCTGGGGCTTTTTTGGGCTTCACGCCCCCACCTTGAAACCCAGAAGCTCGGAGCTGGGTCCAGGGTATCATTACTGCCATCACTGCCTGAAATGTTCGCACCTCATAAAAAATGGTGCGTCAGTCAAGTCAGTGAGTTTCGGGTGAGGGGTTGGGAACCATCCCATCTGATTTGGCCCCAGGCGTGCGCACTGCCCCCCCCATTCCATCCCCTCTCCCCTCCACCCCCCATCATGAGCCTTCCTGTTTTCTCTCCCACTCTGGTGCACAGCTTTGAAATCTTGCTGAGAAGCAAATCTGTCCCTTCTGCTTGGGAACGTTTATTTGTGGAAGTTCGGCAGGGGAACCGAGGTGGGTGCCAAGACCTGCCACGCTGCTGGGAAACCTGTTTCCCTCCCTGCCCAACCCCAACCATGTTGATAGAGGAAATCTGGCCCCTGGGCTCTCAGTTGTCCCCTCATTTTAAAAAATGCTCCCACTGTGTTGTGATTCAGCTTTCTTTCCTGTCCCCAACCTCTGCTCCACTGTGGTTTTCATTTTTCTGACCTCATTGCACCCATGTCCGTGTGACCATGGGCTGGTTGAACATTGAGTTCCAGAGAAGAAAAGATGCAGTCCTGGGGGTCCTGACTGCTTGCTCTGTCAATGGCCCTCATTGTCCCTGGTTCTGCAACCTCATCCCGGATCATCGAGAAGAAACGGGGTAGACCGCACACTGCCCAGTGAGAGCTGGCCTGTGCTCGGCTCTCTGGGCTCATCTTGGTTAAATGGTTGGCCCTGGTTAAATTTCAACTACATGTTTCAATTTTCGGATGACTATCACGGCAACAAAGTGTCTGGGAAAGCCCCCTCCTCTCTGGGATTTTACAATAAGACCCCACGAGGACCTCACTTCAGGATTTCCTCTTCTGCTTCCTAAACCTTTGCACTGTCAACTTTCTTCTGTTTCCAAGGGCCAAGGATGGGGGAGAAAGGCATGCGTTCCCAGTGCCTGCAGTGCCAGAGAGTAGCAGGACTGGTGGGCAGAAAGGAAACTAAGCCAGAAAATGGGGATTTTTCAAAGTCATGAAGCAACACCAAGTATGGCAGTAGTATTTTTCTGCCTACATCTGCAAAGCTTTGCGTGTATCATGATGGATTTCAATCAGTCAAGAACTAGAAAGGAAAGAGAACAGTCCTTCAGTGGACACTGGATGTACATCGGACTTACGGACTTATCATTTGTCTGCCTCAGTTTCTTTTAGGCTTCGGGCATGCAGTAGAGCAGGGCTTATCTTCTCAGCTGATCGGATGTTTACTTTATAGATTTAAAAAGAATTATTGATAGGTGAAAGCTAAAGTGACGTAGGAGGGGCCTGGGTGCTGAGGCTGCTTTGGGGCTGATGGATCCTGAGGTCCTAGTCCTTCACTAAGTCGACAGAGGTTGAGCAGCCATGGTCTGTGCACCCATGTGTGAGGCACTAGTTCTCTTCGGTGGGAATTGGTTTTAAGAAGAATTTCAGCTTCTGCTAACTTACATTTCTACAGCTTTTAATTTTTTATGGGTTAGGATCACCTCTGAGAAGCTAACACCAGCTCTGGGGAATGTAGGTTCCCACAGATACCCGGGGACAAGGATTCCTAGAGCCACTGAAACCACATCTTGTCAAATTTC